GTTAACTCCAAATGTTCAATGTGGACGATTGTGTTTTCCGAAAAACTCTTTTTCAATTAACAAGTTAAATGGGGCCAATTTGAACGTAATATTACATAAATCTCATAGAAGTTTTATTTAATTTCTGAGTCCTTTTGTAGTTTTTATACAGCTAAATAGCACATAAATTACGTAATTCACGTATATATTTTAATATTTCGTTCAATATTTCGTTTAAAATGCCTGATTTCCTGCGAATACATTAGAATTTACAAAAGGGATTTCACTACTAAATGCCTACTTTTCTGCTACCATTTTCGCACCAAGGGATTTCATTCTTCCCTTTTCTCCGTCCTTCGTAAATGCAACCTTTTCTAAGAGAGTGTGAAACTGCGGATTCTGCTTCTCTTTCATAATGATCTCGATAACATTCGGGAATAAATGAGTGTCTGCGGCGCTTTGAAAAAAATCAATACTTATACGATAAATTATGAACATTTTTAATAAAAAACCGCCTGATTTTATATAAATCAATATATTTATAAACATCAATACTTCGATAAATAATGAAAATTAAAAAAAAAAAATCAATACTCCGCCTGCAACTCTTTTTTTATGTAAAACAGTATTTCAATTTAAAGTGAAAACTTTTTATAAAAAAACCGCGACTTTTTTTTACTATTCATCTGGCAGCACCAACATCTGCGTTCATTTCCAACACTTCCCTGTAATCAATGATATTTGAATGGTGAATTGTACAACGTTAAAAATTAATAACTTTTTAACAAGTAATTTTTAGCAAAAACAAACCGACTTCAACACTCATATAAAAATATATATATATATATATATATATATATATATATATATATCATGATCCACTGATCGGATCTAAACCAGATTAGTATGGGACCACCTCATACAACATACATAAAAAAAAAAATATTCCGACGAACTGATAACCTCCTCCTTTTTTGGAAGTCGGTTAAAAAGAAACCTCCGCGCTCTGGGATTTTCACTTTTAAAATCGGAAAAAGCTCCTCTACACGCCCTAATTTAAAAAAAAAGGGTTTGTAAATTGAAAAATGTATGAAAACTTCATATTAAAAAGCTTTTTAACCTACTTTATATTTATAAATAATGCCGTTTGAGTTTAATGGATTTTGAGTTTTTTTAGGTACTGTATATTTGAACATCGATTTTGGGGTGCTGTGCCCAAACGCGCAATTCGAATCAAAAAACTTTTGCACACTTGTAGACAACAGTTCACGCTTTATTGCAAAAATAAAATTTACTATATCTGTACAATTTATTAATAATGTCGTTTGGAAATATGGTATTTTTTGCAAGTTTGGATGACTTTTCATAAAGCGTCGGCCATCCTCTTTCCTTTAAGGTGGGTTTGGGGGCCACATCCCCTCCCTTCACCCCCACCCCAAAATCGTTGCACAAATAAGAATATATTTCCCGTTTTTAGCCGACGTACAAGAAAGGAGGAGGTTATCAGTTCGCCGGAATATTTTTTGTTTTATGTATGTTACCGCAAAACTTTGGACCGCGTCAACCGATTTCGATAACTCTTTTTGCATCGGAAAGGTAGTGTCTCTGAGGTGGTCCCATACTAATCTGGTTTGTATTCGATCATTGGATCATAAAATATGTATATATATATATTTTTTTTTAAGTCGGATTTTTGTTTCTTAAAATTTTTTGTTTTAACTATATTTTTGTTTAAAATTCATAAAATTTAAAAAACATATAAGAAAAAAAAAATTACTGTAAGTATGATTTTCACCGATTTTCACATCTCAAGTCCAAATCACTGATGCTACATTCCTTTGGGGCTTTAATGTTTAAGCTAGAGTTTAAGAACTCAAAACATCGCAATCCACTACATAGGTACCTATCTCCTTTTAACCAAATCTATTTTGGTTGGTGACACATTGCATTAAACGTAGTACAAAGCTTTAACATATGTATGTATGCACCAACATATGCATGTACTAGAGTATGTACATACGTATATATGTTGCATTGGCCTATACATAAGCACATTTGCTAAGTGGAGTGCAAGACCGATTTACACCTACTATTTGGATATATGCGCAACGTCAAACGTTTATTAAAAGGGCCAAAATGCACAAATTCGTACATATGCACATGAATATTCATACATCCATACGCTATATCAAGGCTGCAAAAGTTACAAAATTGGAATTTTAGAAGAATCACCAAGTTAAATATCCATATAGGTACCCACATTTTCATTAGAAGGTATAACAAAAGCTGAGAATTAGGTTTATTTTTCAGTATGAATCCATTTCAAAAAAAAATTTAAGTGTTCTTAAAACGAATTTAACAAGTTCACATCACCAAGTTGTACCTGTTCCGATTTCACATCTTGCGAAGGACAAGTATTATTTATAAAAATAATAGTCATTCAACCTGAGTAAAGCAAAACAGATAACACACGTATTGACAAGATAATGGCGAATAAAAAGAATCACGAGAGTTTGTATTTACGACGGCAACATACAACAAGTTATTATTTACTATCAATAATATTCCAATTATCTAATTGGAATCGAGACCGAGTAGTTTTTAATTCAATTGGATTAATATTGAGCCACAGTATACTATTGAGCGAGGCGTATCTTTTCGAACAAATTAATACCACAACACACTCCGCCATAACCGACAAAAGAGAAATGAAACAAAACTGGTTAAATATTTGCAACTACATACATACACATGGCATGCTTGAACCAGTTATAACCTGTGGTGTTCACACGCATGAAATTCTTGCTCGCTTGACGAAGTTTATGGGCTGTTTTTGCTTACGCGTAAAAGCACATTTAGCGCATTTAGCTCTAAATGCTACTCTAAATGTACATTTATCAGTACAAAATTCGACACCTAAATGCTTTTTCGCGTATGCAGTTGCTAGCTGCGTTTCAGTAATCGCCGATTGAGATTTCATTTATTATTTTACATTATTTGGAAAAAGAAAAGTTGCACAAATTCAACATCGATATGGAACTGATAGATATCCGGCTCAATTAGTGATCAACTCTGTTTTTTTTCCTATTTAATTGAGGATATTTCAATTGACAGCACCGACAAATGAAAATATACACAAACAAATTTTCGGTTATGGTTAAAACAATTAAAGTTTTTGAATTGAATTTTTTGTTTAAAATTTCTTTTCTCCTTTTCAGTAGGGTTATCTGCACATTATCTTCTCTTTGCGAATTGATCGTGCTAGATACGGACCTGAATAAGCGACTGTAACACGGCTGTTTGTCAAAAGCATACGATTTCGAACTCGCTTAAAGCTTGATATACAGTTCAATGCGAGCGTGAGCGTGAACGTTCGCAAAGGCAAAGAACTCCATTTGTATTCTTATGGACGTTCACACACATCTGTCAAAACTTGCCGTTCACATGCGAATGCTTTGCGACGCACATAGTTGAGTGTGAGCTCGAAAAAAGGCATATTATGCATTTTAAATTAGTTTTTATTCTATAATTCTGAAAGATATTGAGTTTAGAATTTGAGCTAAACTGAGCAGTACTGCTAGCTGCCACTGCTGTATTGTGAGTCGCTTCATTGGACACCACACTTTCTAAAAACAGTTGATTTCGAAAAACTGCCGCTGCCACTGCCACTGCGTTATTGTATTTTGGGCTTTATGTAGATAATTATTTTAGTGACAACACGGCAACGCCGTGACTACCCAAAAATATAAGGTCCATTCAATATCAAAAATTTTAACGAATTGTTACTAGTATTTGAGTCTTTACGGGAAATTCATTCAATAACTCAAAAATTTGCGAGAGAGCGATTTCGATACCGTAATAACCCGAGGGAGCTGCAAATCGGCATTCGATATCGTGTGCGCTTCGTCAATTTAAATTGTTGCATTTCTCCAGTAAAGTTAATTGAAGACACCCGTTACATATGACTTTTGATATGGCTTCTCCTGCCGGCAGACATCTACCCACTTTTTGGCCAAGGCGTCGTCGCGGGGAAACAAAAAAACTGCATTTGGAGGCTTTACCCTTACGGCTGCTGCAATTCAACACACGACACGACATTTTTATAAAGTTTTTATTACAAATAAAATGTTTTTTGCTTTAGAACGCACGAATTACTTCGATTTTTCACTTTGAAAGTGTACAATACTGTTACGATTATCCTCGAAACCTTGAGGGATTTCCCAAATATACTCGGGCTCGTATCGCTGGATTGTTAAATAAATGCTAACGATGACCAAATTGTAGTACAATTAACTTTATTGTACAACAAACAATTTACAGTACTTGCTAATACAGTAAAAAACACTTTACAATACTTGTTAAAGCAATAACAACGCTTTACTACTTGTTAATACAATTAAACTTATAGCTTGCTTATTCGCCACTCAATTCTCCGCTCACTTTACTTGTAGCTTGCTGACTTGTAACTAACTCACCTCGTGGTGGCGGCGCCCTTATATACCTGCGCTGGCACTTATGGCAACTCTAGAACATTCTGAAGTTTATCGCTCATTCTCTTTCTCTCGCTGTTCGCAGTGTTCATCCAACTTGACGTTTCTCTTTGTGGAACATTCTACGTCATTCTTCGAACATTCTGCCTATTTCTCGTTGTTCGCTTTGTGTTGCCGCAGTATTCGCCACAATACGTTTGCGACACGTTTGCACTTGTTTCTAAACAAAAAGCTTGTTTAGGTATTGCCATAAACGTCAAAGTCGGCAAAACCAAAGTAGCGGTTTCGGGAATGCGCCACCTTCAGTTCATTACACCATGGTGAGTATTCACATATACTTGTTCTCTCATTCCGATCACACATACAGATGCAATTCGCGCAAAATGTTCTATTTCTCCCCCCGGGCTCAATTACCTCACCTCTTCTACCCAACGGTTTGCACATTTGCCCGCGGTTTGCACGTTTGGGCATTTNTCTTCAACCCAACGGTTTGCACATTTGCCCGCGGTTTGCACGTTTGGGCATTTTGCCCGTATGTGCACATTATGCCCATCGCTAGTTTAATGTATCGAATCGGTATCGGGTAACGAAAGGAAAGTATTGGGTACCAACAATTCAGCACATCACTACTTTTAATCGCGCATGCTCTATGACATGAACCATCTGTTGTTGACATTTGGTTACACATCAAATTAACAATTAGCTTTTGAAAATAATTTTCTGGAGGACATTTTTGAAATATATATATTTTGCAAACGACTATGTAAAATTACATACTTTATAATCACACTCAATATTTTAGACAGTCTGACGTTGGAAATGGATAATTACACCGATGTAAACAATACAGTAACTAAAGTAAGATTGAAGTTAACTTTGCACTTAACTACATACGTATTGTATTGGAACTGGTTTTTTACAGTTGAAAGTAGATTTGCGTAAAAAGTTTACGGAATTGCGAGCAGCTCTTCACGTGCGGGAAAAATTATTACTCCGGCAATTGGAAGTCGTAGCATCTACAAAGCAGCGTTTGACTGAATGTGGGTCCGAAAATAGCTCTATTACCAGACCCAAATCTGATGAAGAAAATTGCATACAAATTTTGTTTGAAAACGAAGACGAATTACTGGGATCAATACGTTCGTTCGGTCGTTTTCAATTAGGGTCCATGGTGCTGGCGTTAAAACAAGAGGACTATATAACTCCAAACTGTGACCACGAAATAATGTACAAAAATATACAATCCGATGTTAATCAATATGACGAATTACCTCAACAAGTTTATGATCATCTTGTGGTTGATTTTTCGAAGGATAAATCTCTAATTGAACATAATACAAAATACATAAACGATTCAATAGTTAACATCACACTAGCGGAAGCTAAAGATCTTATAAGAAACGCGCGCATTAAGAATGAGGTGCCGTTACCACCTTTAAATCTAGAGGAGTTAGATGACGAGCTGGAATCGTCTATCGTTGAAGCAGTTTCCAACTTAAGTAGAGATTCTAATATCAATGTAAGTGAGGGATTTAGGCCAAATTCCTCAGATGCGCGCGAAAAAAGAACTAAATTATGTCGGTCTAAACAAGAGATCACTATCAACAATTGTAGTGGGACTATTAACCTTCGGAATATATCAAATGTTACAATAAATTGCGGTCACGATAAATGTGAGCTTGGTGGGAATTTAAAAACATATATTAATTTGAACGATTCGAAAAATGGTACTATAGTTCCTTACATAGTAGATAGCCTGTCGGAACATTCTACACCAAGCTCAGTTGATTCGGTATCGAACCAGTCCAGTAATTCAAATTCAAGAAGTCAGTCAAAAAAACAAAAGCACAGAAAGCTCTCTGTGGACGGTAATATCAACTATGACAATGAAGTTGATGAGCCATTACGCAATGCATCAATGCACTTAACATTACCACAGGCTAATAATGATGCCGAAAGTAGTTCTGCTGGTGACACTGATTCTAAAACATTTAGTTGTGACTTTTACAATCGTCTTCTTAATGAAATTAAACGTAACCTAGAAGAACAAAAACCACACCGAAATGTAGCAAGATTCCAAAAATTTACTCCTGAATTGGAAATTTCAAACCAAACAGATCACAATTCTGCTTATTTAGAAAGCACTTTAAAAAGAAAACCACATCTGGTTTTGAAAAACTTTGAAAATCTGAATATTGTGTTGAAAAATGATGGACCAAACGAACCTATTCGCCCAGAACATGTAGAGCACTGGTTATCAGAGATTATAAAGGATACCGATTTGGAACCAATGCAAAACACCGATATATTGGAGCACAGTAAAATTAATGACTGAGCATTGAAATATAAGAAAAACTTTTAATTAAGAGCAAATGTACTTAAATAAATTATATAATTTAAACCGTTAAGTTCCAACTGGAAAGGATTCTATATTTAGATTCGCGGTTAATATTCTATAAAACCAGACCTTTTAGCATACTTTATACACGTTTTTTAGATGGGCGTTATTGCGTTGGCTTCAATGTACGCGATACAGACGGGCTAGCTTTCATTTAATTGGTTTTTATTAATTTTTTTTTTTTAGTTTTGAAACTAAACGTTATGATTATTGTTAAAATTTCTAAGAGAAATTTAGCATTTTGAATGTTTAATATTCTGTGGACCAAAGCATTTCGAGACTTTCGTCTTTGGTTTCCAAAACCAACAACAAAATACACACAGTGGTATGGAGGCAATCTTCAACATTTCGAAGAGAGAAGATATACATAGGGCGAAACTACACCAAAAAATTATTGCTGATTGTATGGTGGTTGTGTGCCCAGAACGGCATTCACAGGTCGGGAGTCTACATAACTCGAGACTGCCTCTCTGTGAATGCCGTTCAAGACCTGTCGATAAGTTGTGGGGTCCAAAGGTTGTTTGATGAACCTCTGGACTTCGTCCGTCAGTTCGTAGAGATGCCTCCTGGCGTGCCTGAGCGAAGGCTCTTCTGCAAGGAGTTGCCTGTTTGTGGATGGCCACATCTGTGGCTCCCAGCCAGGAACTGCCTGCAGAGCATTATGTTATGCTCCTTACGTTGCCAGCAACGTTTCTTTGTCTTTTCCCCAGGTGCTGCTGGCTAGCGACTTGAGGACCTTATTGCGGCTTTGTACTTTGTTGACAATTGCGGTTGTACGCGCCGAAAAGGAGAGCAGACTGTCGAAGTTTACTCCGAGTATTTTGGGGTTATTCACCGTCGGTATTGTTACGCCATCGACGTGAATACCCAGTTGCAGTCTGACATCCTTCATCCAGGTGGTAAAAAGTGTGGCTGAAGAATTTGTAGGGGAGAGGGTTAGGCTCCGTGCAGTGAAGAAGCGAGAAAGCTCGGCGAGATAACCGTTTACTTTCGATCACAAGTCATCAATTCCATTCCTGGACGCGATGATCGAGCAACCGTCAGCATAGGAGACTATATTAACACCCTCTGGTGGCTGAGGAAGCTTTGAGATGTAATAATTAAACAGTAGCGGGGACAGGACACCACCCTGTGGTACCCCCTGTTTAATTTTACGTGGCTTGCTAGTTTTGTCTCTGAAAATTACTGACGAGTGTCGACCATTCAGGTAATTCGCCGACCACCGTTTGAGTCCCTGTGGGAGTGAGGAGGCCTCTATATCTTCTAGTAGCGTTGAATGACTGACAGTGTCGAACGCCTTGGACAGGTCCAGCGCTACTTGAATGGTTCTCACAGGGGCGCTTTCGATTTAGGCCACGAGTTATCTGAGTGTTTATGGCGTTAAGTGCTGTTGTTGTGCTGTGAACTGTACGGAACTCATGCTGATGCTTCGCTGGGGTCAGGTGGTTTGTAAAATACGAGAGCAGCAAGGCCTCTAGTTTCTTCGCTACCAGGGAAAGGAGGGTTGTCGGACGNATTATCTGGGTATTTATGGCGTTAAGTGCTGTTGTTGTGCTGTGAACTGTACGGAACTCATGCTGATGCTTCGCTGGGGTCAGGTGGTTTGTAAAATACGAGAGTAGCAAGGCCTCTAGTTTCTTCGCTACCAGGGAAAGGAGGGTTGTCGGACGATAAGACTCTCCTTTGTTGGCTGGTTTCCCCGGTTTAAGCACTGGGACCATTCTCCCTATCTTCCAGATGTCTGGATTGACGATAGTGGCCATTGACAAGTTGATGACCTCCGTTAGGTACGCCACTCCCGTAGGACCCAAATTTTTCAGCATCAACATGCATATTCCGTCGGGTCTAATGGCTTTGGAGGCTTTCGCCTTCTCGATGGCTACCCTTACCTCACCGCTGGTGAAAACAAGAGGCGCACTTGGCAGTTTGTGCAGCCTTCTGGTCACTCGACGTTTGGCTTTATCCACCGCAGGATGCAAGATGAACTGCCGGCTAAAATAGCTCGCGCATCGCTCCGGGTCCGACGAAGCGTGTTAACTCTGTCGAAACGCTTCGTCGGGTTGGACAATGACCTCACGGTTGACCAAAGCTTACTCACACCAGAGGCGAGGTTGCAGAGGTCTTCAGATGCTCTTCCCTTTTCTTCCTCTTATGTACGTTCACAAGTTGCCGAATCTGCGAGTTGAGACCTCTAATACGGGGATTTCCGGGATCGGTCTGACGAAGGTTGTCGCGCTCATCGGGTAGGAATGCCGCTTCTGCAGGAAAATTCGTACGAGGGTTCGTGATGCATCCCGCTGGGATGAAGTGGGTTGCAGCAGCAGTGACAACCCTGCGGAACTTACGTTCACCAAGGTGGACGTCGGTTGGTGTGGGGAGAGCCGCGAAGCTTTTCCAATCAGCTTTAGAAAAGTTGATGTAGGTCCAGTGTTCCGCGGAAGCAAAGTCGGTTGGTTTATCGATCGAGATGACTATGGGCAGATGGTCTGATGCCAAAGTCAGCATAGGTCGCCATGATATGCTGTTTATCAGACCAGCGCTGACTATTGTAATGTCTTGCGAGCTGCAGCAGCTGCCCATAATGCTGGTGGGTGCGTCGTCGTTCATTGTGCAGAAAGTCTAATCGTTTATCTGCTCAGCCAAGTCAGTTCTCCAGTTCCCCTACGATCGTTTGACAAGCTTGAGTGCCAAAGATCGTGGTGCGCATTGCCACGCGGTTTTCACCTCTGAGGAGCGCACCTATTTCAGGGTGACATCCTGCCGTGCAGCTGGTGGCACAATATTGAATCATGGGTCGGTCATATATTGGGTTTGTTCCGCAAGCTACTTGTAGAAAAACTCGAGCAAAGCTGAAACTGTCAGCGCATATCAAATAAACTCTAAAACTTACTTGTAGAACACGTATGTGTAACTCGAAGTGACTTCGAATAGCTTGTGGAACAAACCTATTTATGGAGTTAGCAGCTTTTCATTGAAAAAAAAAACAATGTCAACCCCAGATTTTACTTTCAATTATTTTTAGCGATTTTCATTTTTTTGCACCATCGTGTTGATTTGACTGCAGTTTTTGCGGCGGCGGCGACGATATGTACACTCTTCGAAAGAATATCAGCCAATTCATTTTTGGTATTTGTGGTCTAATAAATAGTTGTACATATTGAGCTTGCCAAGCTTGTGTGGCTAATGACGAACCGCTCCCGCTCTAAGGCAAGTAGGCACTTGCAATAAGGAAATCTTACTGGCTAAAAGCATAAACAGACGGCAGCATTGATCCGGATCAACTCGGGAATTAACTGCAGTTGATCCGGATTAAGCCCGAGTTGATCCGGAATAACGCAGCCGTTTGTTTAAGCTTTTACACTTCTTTGTTTTCACATCATAAATAAAAAAAATGTCCATAAATCAATGTATATCATGAAAAACTGGCACACATTTCTAAATTAAGTTGAAATATTTAATGCAAAAATACAAAGCATCACATTCTTTCATTTATTAAACTGCATATTATAGAAATTTACTATACGTGCAATTGTGATGAGATCTCCACATTGATTTACACTTACTACAGATTTGCGTTTAATGTGATCACAGAATTGATCCTTTGTATTTTATTTTTTCTTACGGAACATAATATTCGTATTATGTATGCATGTGTATAATGACCACCGGTAACACCAGTAGTTAATATATATGTATGTATGTACATGTTCATGTGTAGTACACATTTAGAATCATGCCCATTTTTCATTTATTATACAAATTATTAGCACAATAAAATCAAAAGCAAGATCTTTAATAGCGCAACAAAATATCTAATAGTACATACATATGTACACACATATGTACATATGTAAAACTAAAATATAATCAACATTAGTTAAGTAACCAAGAAGGTAGAGAGTTGTCTAATTCTAGGACGTATATGTACATAAAAAAAGACTTAATGAAATAAGTACAAACCCATTAACATTTATGCTTTTGTTAAACTTGAGGTTAAGTTGACAACTAGGGTACTTCTCAAATCTCGAACGTTGTTTCTCAACTATAGCTCAACTAGAGAATCATATCATCCGCAACGAAAAGGGAATTTTTTTATATGGAAATAATTAAATTTCTAAACTTGAGAAATATATAGTTATCAACTTGGTCTCCAACGTGGTTCTCTAATTGATGTCAAATGCGTCGGTGTTGCAAATCCATACTTAAATAAAAATTAAATACTTATGCATGTAGTTTTTGATTTTAATATGAAGCGCCATGACTGAATTTGTTATCGGGTCAAGTGAGAGACTGAAGTCAAGTTAAAGGAAATATGCATTCCGGACATTCTTAAAATTTCTTTTGTTTAAACTACCGCGAAAATTAGATGGGACTACATTTCCTGATATGAATAGCATTGACAAAGATTAGTTGAAATAATTGTAGGCATAAAGAGTCAAGTCGTTTACTCGGTGTGATTTTGGGTACGTTAATTATTCAAACGGATATGTGGTTGCCTTATTCGTCATAGAACGAAAAAGGGGTATATAGTTTCTAGCTTTGAGATATTCAGATATTTCGCAGCCGAGTAGGCGCGCTTTCCATGCGGGAATATGTACATATGTTCATATTCCTCAGTAAAATGGCATCGCATACTACCTACACCTTTTCCAATAGTTTTTCAAGAAAACAAAAGCTCCGAAAACCAAAAATGAAAATCCGAAAACCGCTGTATGCTTTTCCATGTATGCACATAGAAACTATGCTGATAAAATTGTAATTTTTCAGACTTATGTAGATATTTTATGAAATACGACCGTCAGTTACATTAAAATTACTTAAGACTCGTAGATATAAAACATACATACCTACATATATAAGTACACATACATATATGGTCCATTTACCTAAACTGGCAACAAAAAAAAATGTGTGGGATGATAGTCGTTAAAGCAGCGAATATGCATTCCAATTATCTGCATTGAGTGTCAATTGAAACCTTGGAATGCATCTCCTGAAAAATTGTGTGTT